GAATAAAGAAATGTATAAAATGGTTCAGGCCATTTAACAGCCACTTTGTGAAATGACCTTTAATAACAGTCTTATGTACAGTAATTATAACAGTGAAACAATGTTAAGTAATAAAATTTAACATTTTCTAAATGCTGTTGGCTGCACTGGTAAGATGCTGCATTTGTTTTTTGTTCATTTGAATCAGTAAAGAGTATTTTTCAGTTTCAAACTTCAGGGATAGTACCTTGGTTCTGGTAATGTAGACCAAGTCACAATTCCTTTGATAAAAGGCAAACTCAGTAGGTTCAGGTCCTAGGTCAAAGACATTTGGGGAAGTGATTTAAATAGGGATGAGGGACTTTTAGGAAGATGAATTGTATTAGCCATAGACACACAAGCTTTACGAACCACTTGGAGTTATGACCAGTCTGCTCTGAGCAAGTTGGGGAATGGTCTCTAATGAAAGGACTTTTCCTCTTACCCTATCATGAGTCCAGATATTCCGGATTGTTTGTTTTTTTTGCTATGCCTAGAAGTACTGGAGACATGATGAGAAGACATATAAAAGTAGTCAAGGCTTCTGTACTTCAGTTTGGTCCACAGCACTCCTCTTACTTCTCCTTCTCCCTATTTTATTTGAAATTTACTACAGGCTGCATAAAGTTTCCTTTCAAATACTTCTAAAACTTGGAAACTTCAGCCTACAAACATACATAATTTCTAACTACCCATGATACTCTGTCATCAAAATAACACAACACTTAAAAAAAAAAAAGTTTTATTGAGACTCATATTTTAGATACAGTTACAGCATATGGACAGTGCAGAATTTATTCAGGGGCACACTACGTGAAACCAAAAATATAACACCTTTGCACATGTTTCATATTTGTTACCACCAGTTTGCCAATGAAGCAAATGAAGATTGCAATTATTGTCAGATTGTCAGTCTATAAGAAAGAATGAAATTCATCTCCTGTGCCATCATCTTGTGGCCCACGGATTTCACGTGACTTGGTCAAAGTCATACAGCTAGTTAGTGGTAGTGCCTAAACTCAGGGGGAAAAAAAAAAAGCAAAGTAAAACAAAACAAACAATGCAACAAAAACAGGCTTGCAATTCCCAATGCATATCTAAAATCTGCTTCATATAAATAAGCCCAACTGTATAATTCTATTGCACTGTGGTAACAAGCTTCTATTTTAAAATTTAGGGTAACAGAGGTGCTACAATATATTATTGAGAGCAATATTACTTACTGTCTTAGAACTATACCCAGACTAACTTTTAATAGTTATACTTCTATTATTGAGGGCTTAAGGATCAAATCTTAAATCTGAATTTATCTATAATGAATTCTCATTCCAGAGATTGAAATTAATACCCTTAGCCTTTTTCAAGACATAAGAAACCAAATCCTATACTCACAGAGAACCTGCCTACACTATTCCTCCCCACAAAACCCTCCATTCCCATATGGTGGCAGTGGTTTTGGTTTTTGTTTTGTTTATAAGGACCTACTTTAAACTTAGGACCTCTGGTGGCTTGGTGCCTAAAACATCTGACTGCTAACCAGAAGGCTGGAGGTTCAAACCCACTGGCCACTCCTAGGAAGGTTGGGCAATCTACTTCCGTAGTGATACCGCCTGAGAAAGCCAAGGAGGGGTCACTAGGAGCTGGGGCAGACTCAATGGCACACAACAACAACAACAAGTTAAAGTATTCCCCTTGTTTCCAGTTTTGACATCTATTCTACAACACAGCCAATGTTACAAGGTATACATCTGATTATGTCACTCTCCACCTTTCAATTGCTTTAGTGTCTCTCCACTGCTCTCAGGATAAAGTACAAACTTAACATATGTGAGCTAGTTCTTCCACTCCAGAGTCATTCCATAAACACAAACCCAACCCACTGCCATCAAATCAATTTTGACTCATAGTGACCCTATAGGGCACAGTAGAACTGCCCCCATAGGGCTTATAAAGCTGTAAATCTTTATGGAAGCAGGCTGCCTCATCTTTCTCCTGCTGAGCGGCTGGTGGGTGAGCAGCCAAATGCCTTAACTACTGCACTACCAGGGCTCCTGTTGTTGTTGTTATGTGCCATCGAGTCAGACCCGACTCATAGCAACCCCTCCTTGGGTTTCCAAGGCTTACGGAAGTAGATTGCCCAATCTTCCTTCCAAAGAGTGGCTGGTGGGTTTGAACGCCAGCTTTCTGGTTAGCAGTCAAGTGCCTTAGGCACTATGCTACCAGAACTCCTACTCAAGCTTATTACTCACCATTTTTTTTTTTTTTAACCCCTGCTATTTCCCAGCTCAGCAGCAACCACTTTGAAATGCTCTATCCTCCACCCCCACATTCCTCCTGCTTTAACTTGGCTAACACCTACCTATCCATCCCTCAAGAAGCAAATTTTAACATCTTTGTGAAGTCCTTCCTGACTGTCCAAGACTGGGTCAGATACCCTTCTATTCACTGTTACTTGGCTCCTTATGCTTACCTTTAGCTTTAATTAATTGTAATTAATTAATTTCCCACATTAATCTTTAAATTTCATGAGAGCAGAACTTTGCTGCTTGTCAAAGTGAAAATTTTACTGGACAATGTGAAGACAGGTAACAGTGACTTTTATTCAAAAAGGACTATTGTAAGGAAAGGAAAAGGACTAAGTAGGGGAAAGATAGAGCACTGTAATGGGGGGGGAGGATCACCGCAGTGAGGACAGTGAGACACCAGAACTAAGTCTGAGCTCCAGCTCTTTGCTTATTAAAAGGAAGTTAGGGGGGACAGGAAGAGGTGAATGATTTGGGCTATTTTGGGATTCAGGCTATTTTGTTCAGGTTTTTCTATTTATTTTTTGGGGGAATAAGATCAGGTGGATCCTGAGAAGAGGGTGGGTGGTTGGGAGATAAAGCTTAGGATGTGGGGAGAAGGAAGGTTGATGACATGAGGAAGGGAAATAGCTATTCTAAAATCATTCAAACAGAGCTGGTCAGTTGTTTCCAGTAACACACAAAAGATAAAAGTGATTTCCTTAGCAAAGGGCTCAAAGAAAATTCCGCTTTATCATGCACTATCTTTAGCACTTGAGTGTACCAGGAGAGAATGCATTGTTTGAATCAATCAATGAAAGTACCATGAAGTTTTACCCAAAGTGCCTGACTTCACTTCCTTGTATGTTTTCTCTCTAACAAGAAGTTATTCTTCACTCCTGAAGGGGATGGATCTGAGAGAATGAAAGAGGTGGAAGCCAAGGGTAGTAAAGGAAAGCTGAAGGCAGAGGCACAGACACAGCATACTATTCTGAAAAGGTGGGCTCTAAGCAGAGATGAGGGAGCTCTGGTAGCATAGTGCCTAAGGCACTTGACTGCTAACCAGAAGGCTGGTGGTTCAAACCCACCAGCTACTCCTCGGAAGGAAGATTGGGCAATCTACTTCCGTAGTGATAATGCCTTGGCAACCCAAGGTGGGGTCTCTATGAGTCAGGTCAGACTCCACCACACATAACAACAAGCAGAGATTAAGGAGCTCTGGTGGTGCAGTGCCTAAGGCATTTGACTGCTAACCAGAAGGCTGGCAAGTCAAACCCACCAGCCATTCCACAGAAGGAAGACTGGGCAATCTACTTCTAAAGATTTACCACCTCGGAAACCCAAAGTAGGTTGTTATGAGTTGTAAGTGACTGGCAGTGAGTTTTATTTTATTTTTTTTAAGGCAGAGATGCAAATTAACATGCAACTAATCTTGCAAAAAATGATAGCAAAGTCTCCTCCTTTGCTAAGGATTTATGGCTAACGTGGCCATGCATACCTCTTGACTCCAAAGGCTAATGCAGTGCACCCAAATCCTGTCCAGCCCACCCATGAGTCCCCACACTCACTCACCTGGGGCAAGGCAAGCAGGAAACTAAGTCCCCAAGCTGCCCCCAGAAGCTTCCTTCCACCTGAGCGAGGTCCAAACGGGTGAAGTACTGCTGCCTGGCGGTCAAGCCCAATGACCACAGGCAGGAAAGCTGCGGCATACATAGCCATCAGTTTCAGGAACATGAGTGTCCGACATGCGATGTCCCCGGCCAGCCACTGAACAGTGATATTCCAGGTGGCATCTAGGGGCATAACCACAAAAGTGACCAGTAAGTCTGCAGCTGCTAAATGGGCGAAGAGTCGCCGCACCGGAGAGGAGCGGACCTGGCTGGGTTGCGGCCGTGTCACTGACCACAGCACAGCCAGGTTCCCTCCGGCTGAGGAAACAAACAGCACAACGGTCACTCCCACTCGGACCTTTGCTGCAGCTGAGAAGGTGGGCAGCTCTGATCCCTCTACCTCCACTCCGGATCCCGCCCAGACCTCCTCCCCTGCTGCTGACCCCCAAGGGGTGCCGTTGCCTGCGGACATGGTAGCCTGGAAAAGAAGGTGGAGGGGAGGGGGAATGAAGTGTGGGTGTCCTGGAGGAGGTCACCGTCCAATCTTCTGTGTCCTGCAGGGAACCAGGATCCAGTGCTGATGATGCTCCTTTTCCCTTGGACAGACTAGTCAGTGATCTCCGAGCTTCTACTGCCATAGACCTTACGTCTCCAGAGTCCTGATTCGCGCGAATTTGTGCATGTGCTGGGGACCGTCACTTAGGTCCACCTCCCCGGGGGAGAGAATGGGGGGACCCTTTCCCGGCGGCCTTGGCGAGATCTCTGCGGTGCTTTCTCGCTCCGCCCCCACGCTGCAGGTCCCGCCCTTGGTCCAGGATATCAAAGAAGAATGCGCGCGCATTAGGCATGCTCTGGAAATAGCCAAAAAAGGGACACTGTGACGGAGACACATGCATTAAAAACATGCACGTGTAGCCCTAGAAACAAGAGCCTCTTGTCTTGAAGCTCCACTTTAGGGACTGTTTCCACTCGCTTTCTTTTCTGACAGCGTTTGTCCCTCGCGAGGCACTGTCTGGGTCGCCCAGGAGGCGTGACTAGGGGCGGGAAGTGGGGGCGGACGCAGGGCGGTGGAACTGGGGCTGCCGCTGTCATGGACGCCTGGGTCCGCTTCAGTGCTCAGAGCCAGGCCCGGGAGCGGCTTTGTAGGTGCGGCCCGAATAGGAATGGGGGGAGGGGGATAGAGGAAGACCCTCGCGAGGCCAGGTCAGTTCAGACTATGGGGGTCAACCAGGGTCAACTCCTGCTACGGGGGCCCGGAAGGACCTCGAGGTTCAGATTGGAGCTGGCCGTGAGGCTATGATTCGTTTCTGCCCACGAGAAAGATGGGGAAACTGAGGCACGAGTGGGCCAGTGGGGAGACTGCCAAGGATTGCCATGGCTACACGGGACTAACAGTTTCCACACTGGGCAGTGGTGGAATGAGGGGCGTTTGCCCCGCGGTTGATAGCCACCCGGATTCTGCCCCCAGAACTCCCTGTTGCCCGGTACCCTCCTCCTTCTCTCATCTGGGAACTCCTTTGCCGTTGCTGTGTCCTCTGGTGTCCGTTCAGCTCGAGGGCGTTGAAATCTCTCAGCTCATCTATTAAAAGGAATAAACTGCCCTCCAACCACCGCCCCCAACCCGGCAACATCACATACAGGCTCACAGTGATGGACCTGTGATGAACCTCCTGTTGCCTTCACATTCCCTTTCTGGCTTTATCACGGTCCAGTTTCTTTTCTCAACTCTCAACAGTGCTCCCCACCCGCTTTGTTGTTGTTGTTTTATTGTTAGCTTCGGTGAAGTGGATTCCTACTAATGGCGACCCTGTATGTACAGAGTAGAATTGCTCCGTAGGGTTTTCAAGGCTGTGACCTTTACACTCCTTTTTATCCTTCTATCTTTCCTTTTCCAGGCCCGCAGGAGAAAGGGTGAGATATGGGCATGAAGAGGAGAAAGGGGCATGGTCTTAAACTGGGAAAAGGGGAAATTCGTATCTGCCTATTGGAGAACATTTTTTTTAAGGAGGATGTGAGGGGGTGTTTCCAGCTTCTCCTGCCTGTGCTGTCTTGCAGGGCTGCCCAGTATGCTTGCTCTCTCCTTGGTCATGCACTGCAGAGACGTGGGGCCAGTCCTGAGTTACAGAAACAGATTCGACAATTGGAGGGTCATTTGAGCCTTGGAAGAAAGCGTAAGTAATTGTGCCTTTTCTTTTATCATCTCAACACTTCCTTCATCCTAGTTATTCACCCTGAGCCCCTCCTTCCTGTTTTTCACGTCTATGCCAATTTTCTCCCTCATTGGGCTATATACTTATCCTCTGTCTGCCTCCCGATCAAGATAAGACAGCAGGAGGTAAGGAAGTAACAGAAAACTGAAGAGAATGGGGTAAATTTGAGAAAAATAAAACTGGGACAAAAATAAATTAAAACTTGAAGTAAAAAAATAACTGTTTCTGCTCTTTTTGTTTTTGTTGTTTCTTTTACTTGCTCCACTTTCACTCTTGCTTTGCCCTTTTCTCTGTGTCCTGCTGTCTGCTTCAACTTCGAAATCCTTGCTAATCCTTGCCAGTTCTACGCCTGGGTAACTCAGCAGATGCCCTTGAGTCAGCCAAACGAGCTGTGCACCTCTCAGATGTTGTCCTGAGATTCTGCATCACTGTTAGTCACCTCAATAGAGCCTTGTACTTCGCCTGTGACAATGTCCTATGGGCTGGAAAGTCTGGACTGGCTCCCCGTGTGGATCAGGAGAAGTGGGCCCAGCGTTCATTCAGGTTTGATATCCTTTCCAACTACAAGACTTTTTGTATTCTCTGTACTACATAGCTTGCCTTTTGTGAAAGACCTTTACACCAGGTCTTCCCAGAGTATACAAGTCTTATTCAATCACTTGGCTTCCTACATTCATTCAGATCTTAAACTATTAGAGAGTAAAGGATGAGAGCAGGTGGAAGGCAGATACTTTTCCATGACGAATGACTAAGAGAAGATAGTACATTGCTTAGATTCTACTATCTATACCGTGAGTTCACCTCACTTCCTACTCATTTATTCATTACAAAAAATATTTATCAGGTGCTTCCTGTGGTCAAGAGGATAAAGTGAAGAGCCAAACAAATATTGTTCCTACTCTCAAGAAACTTACAGTCTAGTGGAGGAGTCAGATACTAAAACAAATAACCACTCAGATATTTTTGTGGAAGAGTACAAGGTGTTATGAGAGTATAACTAGGGAACCTAATTTAGACTGAAAGGTGGAAAGAACTCGTTTGAGTTTTCCTCTTCTCAGTAATCTTAAGTAGGAGTTAGATAGCAAACAGTAGCAGAGAAGACCTTCTTAAACAGAGAATTAGAAAAATTTTTTGGGAATTAGAGAAAAAGAATGAAAGCCAGTATGGTGGGCAGCATTGAGTAAAGAGCTGTGTGTGTTCTTTAGTGCTGCTATAGCAGCAATACCATAGGTGAGTGGCTTTAACAAACAGAAATTTATTTTTTCATAGGTTAAAAAAAAAAAAAACTCCCCGTTGTCGAGTCAACTCATAACAACCCTTCCTTGAGTTTCCGAGGCAGTTGTTTTGTTGTTATGTGCCATGGAGTCGGACCCAACTCATAGTGATCCCCCCCTTGGGTTTCCGAGGCAGTATCGCTACGGAAGTAGATTGCCCCATCTTCCTTCCAAGGAGTAGCTGGTGGGTTTGAACCACCAGCCTTCTGATTAGCAGTCAGATGCCTTAGGCACTATACCATGAGAGTTCCCTCTCATAGGTAGGAGACTAGAATTAGAAATTCAGAGTGCCGGCTCTATGGGAAGGCTTTCTCTGTTGCCTCTGGAGGACAGTCCTTGTCTCTTCAGCTTCTGCTTCCTGGTTCCTCCATGAGTCTTGGTATCTGTCTTACCTGCTTCTAGCTTGATCTCTTTATATCTCAAAAGAGATTGACTCAAGATACATCCTATACTAACCCTGCCTCATTAACATAACAAAGACTACCCATTTCCAAATGGGCTTTTAACCACAGGGATGGAGGTTAGGTTTACAACACAGATTTTTTGGGGACACACTTCAGTCTATAACAAGGGCATAAGTCAAAACTGAAGAGGTAGATAGGAGCTAGATCATGCAGGGCTTTTTAGACAGTGATAAGATTTTTTGTTTGGTTGTTTTGTTTTGCTTCAATTTTATCCTGAGTATAACGGGAAGTTATTGAAACGTTCTGATTAGAGACATGAACATGATTCAGATTGTGTCTGTAGAAGGTCTCTTGCTGCAATATGGAACATGGATTGCTGTGGGGAAAGAGATGCTTGATTTGGGCAGAAGATGATGTTGGGATGGACTAGGGATGTGGCTGTCAACAAAGGTAGAAAGAAAGAAATTTTGGAAGAAAATTTCAGTTTACATATTATCAGTGTTTCTTTGTCTTCTATGATTCTCTTTGTTATTTTTTTCATTATAACTTTCCTTTCCATCTCCATTTTTCCTTTGCTTTTCTTCAAGTTTTCAGTGTTCTACAGCTATAATATATATCATGTTACTATGATTTATCATATATGAGAGGTGGAAGTAGGGCTGGCAGGAGTGAGATGGAAAGCAGTGCCACATGCCAGGTTTATTTATTTCAATCTGCAAATATTTATTGAGCTCTTGCTGTATGGCAGGTACTGGGATACAATGGCAAAGACAAAACACTCCTTGCTCCCATGGGCCTTACATTCTAAGGAGTGGAGACAGACATAAATGAATAAGAAAAATAACAGATAGTGGTAAGTGCTATGCAGGAAGTTAAAATAGAATCGTGTGGTAGAGAGTAAATGGGGTGTTAGAAAAAACCTCTTCAATGTGATGGCATTTAAGCTCAGACCTGAAGAACCAGAAAGAGCCAGCCAACATGCATTGGGTAAGAGGGTGAGAACATTCCAGGTAGAGGGAGTGCAAAGGTTCTAAGGCAAAAGCAAACTTGATGGGATCAAAATATATGAAGAAACCAATGTGGTTGGAATATACTGATTGAGGGGAAGAATTGTACAAATTGAGAGAAGGCAAGAGCCAAATGTTGTTGAGTTCTGTAAACCTGCCTATGATGTCTAGATTTTATTCTAAATGTGATAGGAAGAAAGATAGGAAAAATTTTAGGACAGGAACTGATTATATAATTTACATCTATACCAGTTACTATATGAGATTCTTTTTGCATCAGACATCATATGGTGCTGGGCAGATCTGCTGCAGAAGACCTCTTTAAAATGTTAAGAAGCAAAGATGTCACTTTGAAGACTAAGGTGCCCCTAACCCAAGCCATAGTATTTTTAATCACGTCATATGCATGTGAAAGCTTGACAGTGAATAAGGAAGACTGAAGAAGGGTTGATGCTTTTGAACTGTGGTATCGGTGAAGAGTACTGAAGATACCATGGGCTGCTAGAAGAATGAGCAAATCTGTCCTGGAAAAAATGCAGGTGGAATGCTCCTTAGAAGCAAGAATGGCCAGACTTTGTCTCACCTACTTTGGTCATGTTGTCAGAAGACACCATTCCCTGGAGAAGAATACCATGCTTGGTAAAGTAGAGGGTCAGTGAAGGAGGGGAATACCCCCAATGAGATGGACTGACACAGTGGCTGCAATGATGGTGCAAAAAGGGCAGGGAGGTCACATGTTCTGACCTCCTCTAACTGCACAAGAGGAAGACAGAGTCACCATCACTAGCCTAAGGCCTATTACTGAAAGGCCAGACATACTGCCTCCCTCCAGCCCTTTTCACCAACCGTTCCTCCTAAAGCACCCATCAACCTCTCTCCTGGGTTCGATAATCCACTGCAGTGGCCACACAGAACTCACAGATTACGGGGTTTATTAGGGAAGCACCAGGCTACAATTCAAGTTCAGGAAAAATGCTCAGTCTCTCTCCCAGCCCGCCGTCTCTCAACCAACAGTCTCTCACAGTCTGTCTCTCCCAGTAGTGCGTGTCTCTTGGTGTCTCTCTCAGCAATGCATGTCTCTTATGTCTCTTTCAGGAGCGCATGTCTCTTTCAGCAGGACATCTTCCTCAACTAGCAGTCAGAGAGAGTTCTGCCTCTAGGAGGCCTCCTTTTGAGCCAGGGAGTGGCCAAACCAACCAATCATAACATTAGAATTCTAAACACCTGAGAAAGAGAGAGAGCGCGCGCGAGCACAGGAACCTCCTACAACATTGTTTATTGCCCTCCCAACAGAAATACCCCAGGTGGACAACTTCAGCAATCAGGAGCTCCTCAGTTGCTCATGGCAAATTCCACCTTGGAGTTTACAAAGTCTTATGGGTAGAAAAGCCACACTAAGTGATTTAGTCACTGCAGATGGGTTCAAGCATAGCAAGGATAGTGAGGATGGTGTGCTAGGCAGGGCAGCATTTCCTTTGGTTGTATATAGGGTCGCTATGATTCAGAGCTGACTCAGCAGCACCTAACAACAACATATGAGATTAGATAGTTGTTGGCTGGAGGGACAAGTGGCTATAGGAGACCAGTTAAAAGGCTAATGCAGTAGTCCATGTGAGAGAGAATGGTGGCTTAGACTATGGTGGTAGAGTGAGAGATGCGGTTGGGTTCAGGATATGTTTTGGAGATAAGACAATTTGTTGAATGCAGAGGCACTGTTGTCAGTGCTCTGAGTAGATTAAAAAACAGACTTTGTTCTTAGGGAATTTATGATCTAACAGGTTTAGTTTTTGGTTTAATGTGTCTTAAGTCTGTGAAACAACTGAGAAACCAAAAAAAACAAACTCACTACTGTTGAGTTGGACCCAACTGATAATGACCCCTTCTTGGGTTTCTGAGGCGATATCGCTACAAGAGTAGATTGCCCAACCTTCGTTCTGAGGAGCAGAGCAGCTGTTGGATTTGAACCACCAGCCTTCTGGTAGTAGTCAGATGCCTTAGGCACTATGCCAATTTACATTCGTTATAGCTCACATTGAATGAGTGTGTATATTAAGAGGTTGCTAAGTGGAAAGTTGGGCTGACTCGACGGCACATAACAACAACAACAAGTGGAAAGTGAAAGTGGAGGTTGATCCTTGGAAGATTTAATGATATATGCTCACTAATTTTAAGCCAGGATGTTAAGATACACATAACCAAAGAAATCAAACTCACTGCCGTCAAGTCGCATTTGACTCATAGTGACCCCTCCTTGGGTTTCCGAGGCAGTATCACTATGGAAGTAAATTGCCCAACAACCTTCCTTCCGAGGGGTGGCTGGTGGGTTTGAACCACCAACCTTCTGGTTAGCAGTCAGATGCCTCAGGCACTACACCACAGACATATATTAATTGCAAAAAGGTGAGAGGACATTTCGAATGGTGGGTAATAGCATTCACTTCTGTTGTTCCTATGTGTAATTGCTGTCATCACCAAGGGAAAAGACAACATTAAAGGGGATTATTTTAAGTAAGTATAATGCTCTCACTGACTCTTGTGCCCTGTGTGTCACAGGTACTATCTCTTTTCCCTCATTATGAATTTGAGCCGGGATGCCTATGAGATTCGCCTACTGATGGAACAAGAGTCTTCAGCTTGTAGCCGGCGGCTGAAGGGTTCCGGGGGAGGAGTCCTAGAAGGAATTGAAACTGGGGTTCCTGGAGGATCAGGGACTCCAGGAGGAGGCCTACCCCAACTGGCTCTGAAGTTTCGGCTGCGAGTCCTGCTCCTGGCTCGAGTCCTTCGAGGTCATCCCCCGCTTCTGCTGGATGTGGTCAGAAATGCCTGTGATCTCTTCATTCCACTGGACAAACTGGGCCTGTGGCGCTGTGGCCCTGGTATTGTTGGGCTTTGTGGCCTCGTGTCCTCTATCCTGTCTATTCTCACCCTAATCTGCCCCTGGCTGCGACTCAAGCCCTGACGTTCTGATGTAGGATAAGGAGGGGACCTGAATTGGTGAGGTGGCATCTTAGATCACCCCTGAGGTACCAGCCTTGTTCTAACTCTCCCCCTTGGTTGAAGTTCAAATCCAGAGATTTGGAGGTAGAGGGAGAAGCTTTGGGGATCATGAGGTCAGGAGAGGAAAGGTAACTCTTGAAGTCAATAGGATGATTCTGATAGCCAAATCTGTCTGAGCTTTTGTTCTTTTCCTCCTTTATCACATTGTCTGTTTCTCCCTTGGTTCTTTTTACTTTGTCACTCTTAAGTTTTTTGAGATTTCTGTGTGTAGTCTCTCTCCTTTACCTTCTCAGTCCCCTGTTCTAGGAATTTAATCATCAACAGGATGGCCTTTTGGGGAACAAAGGAATGATAGAAGGTTTGGTCTGGAAGATTCTGACTGCCTTCTTTTTCAAACAGGTGGCTTGTGGTACAGTTTTTCCCTTTCAGACTCTAAATTATAATTTTAAGACTTTATGTCCCAGTGAACTTTCCTTCACTCTCTGCCCCAGAGGTTGTTTGATACTTTGATGCTTCCTCTTCCTCCTTCATGTCTACCTCATCAACCTCCCTCATGACTTGGTCCTTATCTATCCTTCCCTGAAATCACACCTACAAAGTTCTGGTTCCTCTTTAATTTCAGAGACTTGTTCCATACAAGTTCCAAACAAAACATAGTTTGTTCTTACCCCTTCTTTGCCTACTCAGAATGATGTTGTATCTAGCATCTTGCTGTAAATACTGTACAATGAGTTTGTGTAAATAGTTGTGGCCCATGCCCAAGATGGAGAGCATGCCTTCTAGTCAGCAAATTAAAGATCCGTTTGCCCATCCTTGTTTGGTCTGGTCCCTTGTGTTCTGGTTACCTATTCCTGTCATACTAGGTGATGGAGATACAAAATGCTAAGAAGCTCCAAACTCTGTAGTCCCACCTCAAGAACTTTACGCCTAGTTGAGGAGATGGAGTCTTATGGTAAAGTAATGATCTGGTTCCGCAGGACCCATCTTGCACATTTGTAGTCCCTTCAAAAGCCGTACACCACCAGGCAGCACAGACTAGGTGTGACAGGCAGGAGTAAGTGGAATGGTGCTGGTAAGGCTTGGTTTGTGGCTATGGCTTCACGTATTGGGACTCTTCTGGCTGGGTGGGGGTATGGTATCACTGTTACTAGCTCTTTCATTTTCCATATCCCAGATTGGGAGCTCTGGTAGCATAGTGGCTAAAGGCATTTGACTGCTAACCAGAAGGCTGGCAGTTCAAACCCACCAGCCACTCCTCGGAAGGAAGATGGGGCAATCTACTTCCGTACTGATACTGCCTCGGAAACCCAAGGAGGGGTCACTATGAGTCGGGTTCGACTCGATGGCACATAACAACAACAGATTAGGATAAATAAGGGTAAGCATAAAAATAATCTATCTCCTGCTCCTACCTTCTATTCCAATCTTGAGAAAACCATTATTGAACTGGCAACAACGAATTAAAAATAAAAAATGGGAAGAGAAAGAAACAAGCAGAAGTGGTCAAGTATGTTCCTTTGTATTTTGAGATGAGGCCTCCAGGGGGCAGCACCAAGGCAAAGCAATCGACTGAAACCACTCTGTCCTCCTCTTGGTCTGGGGCTCCCCACAGTTCCCCACCATTACTCCTCCCATTCCTTCCACTTTATTTTTAGCTGCCAGTGGGAGGGGGCAGGATGGGAGGGAAAGTAAAGAAAAGGGAAAAGGAGAGGGACAGAAGCAGAGACGACTTCTAGACTTCTCAGACTTCTAGACTTCTCAGACGGACAGAAGAGCATCCAGGCATGGAGCTCCCCCTCGTCCCTCACCTGTCCTTGTCCCTGATGCTCCTGACAGGTGAGGGAGCTTAACTTCTTGGTATCTGATGGGAGTAGAAGATCCATGGGATTGTGTAGCATGGAACCTTTAGGTTGAAATTCTGTGGGAGTTAAGGTGGGAGGTTAACACTGAGTCTGCATTTCTGTAGACAGTGTCTATATACACGTGTTTGTGCTCTCATGTGTGTGTGCACATACATGTTTGCCCTCACATAGGATTATTTTGGTACCAAGACTTAGAGGGAGCTGAAGCTGCCCAGGATGTTTCATAAGATTTGTGTCCAGTTATCTAAAACTTTTGTTCTAAGCCCTGGAGGAGTGAAGAAACAGAAAAGAAACATTCCCATGACCTTCCACGTGGCTAGTCATTCCTATTTTCTCCCTCCCTACTTCCCGTACCTTTGGTGGTCCTTGGCGCCTGAGGCATAACTGACTAACTGGTGTGGTCACAACTCTGGGTTAATCTAACCAATGAGCTACAGTCCTGGTCATATAAATAACCCTTGCCAGTATCCTGAATGCAAAAAGGGTCATATACTAAACACCCTTCTGAAAAAGAGCATGGCTTGGGATAGAGCTACAGCCATTGGTGGTGAGGTGGCTTGAAAGGGATTACATGAATGGAAGGAGCAAGACAGTGGGGGAAAGAACCCTGGCTGGGACAAGAGGCCTGGAATTTTTCTTCTCCAGTTCCCTGTAATCTTTGTTTCCTAAAATACCAGCTCTGAGTTTAAAGGGATTGGGAGGGGGGAGAGAAGAATCAGCCAGGACATGATGGGGCGCTTTAGAGGGCGCCAAGTGTTGGGGAAGCTATAGAGGTAGGCAGAGGGGCAGTGGGAAGGGTGGGTAAGTTAGGAAGAGGGTGTGAGGAACTTTGGGGTGGTGGGACCCTTGGCAAGGATGGAAAGCAAACCATGTGTGTGGGCAGGCAAGTGGCTCCACCCATTTAATTACCACTGAGGGTTCCAGGGCTAAGATCAACCAGAGACCTAAACATTGGAGAGAGAGTGTGTGCCAACGACATTGGGAGTCAATAAGAGATGGAAAGAGGAGAGTGGTCCATAGTCCCATCTTGTCCCCTGTGGCCCTAGTTTGGGGTGAATTGGAAAGGAATGGTTATGCTGGGGCTACAGAAGGACCCTCTCCCTCTTTTGACCCTCCCAGTCAAGAGAGGAGGATGTGTAGGAGGAATGATGTGGAAAAAGTAAGTTGACCCTCCAGACATGTCTGTGAATGAGATTTCATGTTGTGAATGTGTTTCAGAGTGGAAACACAGCTGTGCATCAGCATGGCAGGAGGCCACAATTTAGACATCTGGACCCAAACACAGGACGGGGATCATCTGTGCTTGGGGCTCTGGGTACATGACATTGACAGAAGCCAGGAGAGTTTATGAGTCAGAAGCAAGCAGATAGAGTGAAATCAACTCTCATTGCTTCTCTCTGGCTATGTCTCTGGGCTCTCATTGACCTCTCTAACTGCTTCATGCTGACCTTATGATCCTGGCCCCCTAGGTCTCTGCTCCTCCTTTAACTTGGATGTGCATCACCCACGCCTATTCCCAGGGCCACCTGAGGCTGAATTTGGATACAGTGTCTTACAACATGTTGGGGGTGGAGGACGATGGTAAGGAAGAATGTGGAAATCCATGGAATTGGGACTATGATGGTGCTGGTAAAGGGGGGGGGCAAGGTAGATGGGGATCTAAGGTCATCTGGTTGTTTGGAGGTGGCTGGGGCTTACGCATTTTCCCTCTGGCCTACCTCAAGGCTCATGCTCATGCTGTACTTACATTCACATCCTCCTCCCAGGATGCTGGTGGGCGCCCCCTGGGATGGGCCTTCAGGCGACCGGAGAGGGGATGTTTATCGCTGCCCTGTTGGGGGACCCCCCAATGTCCCATGTGCTAAAAGCCACTTGGGTAAGAAGATGTTTGACTCTTCCACTCCCAACCCCTGACCTCAGTACCCTGGTAGCTTTGACCACTTTTGCCTCAGCTTCTGCACCCCCATAGCCCATGTCCCCTCCCTGTCTTGATCCTCTCTAATCACTTTTCATCCTCTTCCATAATCATCCTGAACTTAAGTACTCCCATCTGTGACCCCCAGATCTCTTTCTCTCCCCACACCCAACCAGGTGACTATCCACTGGGAAATTCATCTCATCCTGCTGTGAATATGCACCTGGGGATGTCTCTACTAGAGACCGGTGGTGATGGGGGATTCATGGTGAGCTAACGGAAGGGTGAGGTGGTATCTAAAGGTTCATGGCAGACCACAGAGCAGTTGTGGTAAGGGAAACTGGTCTATGGGGAGGGAGTCAAGGAGTTAGTAACCTTAGAAAACAAGGAAAGGAATGGTGGTGTCAGTGCCATCTTTGGTTGGGAGCATGCTCTGGGGGTACCCTACCAAGCCTGAGAGTAACTCTTTCCCCTCCTCACCCAGGCTTGTGCCCCTCTCTGGTCTCGTGCTTGTGGCTCCTCTGTCTTCAGTTCTGGGATATGTGCCCATGTCGATGCTTCGTTCCAGCCCCAGGGAAGCCTGGCACCCACAGCCCAACGTGAGCCAGAGGAGGGGCCTGAGGACTCAGTCCCCAGGAAGGGATATGGGGTGGGAAAACGATGGGGCAAAATGGTACGGCGCCTGGCAGAGGGCCTGCATGGCTATCTTCATTGCTACCTAATGTGTCTTACAAAAACTCCATGTTGCCTAACAAAATTCAGACTCCTTGCCAGGGCATCAGGGTTCCATGATCTGATCCAACCAACTTAAAAAACTCAACTCTCACTGAGTCCTTCCACATATTTTGTGCTTTGGCCACGGCTTTCGTCTAACACCTCTCTCATTGTGTAGTCTGTTTTCAAATCTCTATCTCCCTTTGTTTAAAGTGTTCTGTGTGTAAATATCTTTCCTTATATTCTCATCCCCTTAGACATCTCAGCCTTCAATGTCTTCTCAGTTGCTGCCTCCTTTGACTCCACCACCAGAACTGACTCTCTTTTGGTTCTTCCACAACAGAGTAGTGCTGTATTTCTATCTAGCACTTAATTCCTTGTGCTTTTTCAGTAAATTGTATATATGCCTGTCTCTCCTTTTATTTATGTCCGCACTTACCCAGAGCTTGGCACAGTATCTTCCTTGTAGGTAAAAAGTGTTCAATTAGTGTTTGAATTGAATGTGATATTTTCCCTTTGCTATTCTCATGCCCAGTATACTTCTACCCCGCTTTTCCCCATCCCTGTACCCCTCCTTCTAGGCTGCCCCACATACATGGATGTTGTCATTGTCTTGGATGGCTCCAATAGCATCTACCCTTGGTTTGAGGTTCAGACTTTTCTACGAAGATTGGTCAGCAGACTGTTTATTGACCCAGAGCAGATACAGGTAAGAGATGGTAGTATGGATGGGCTTGGGAGATGAGAGGGAGAGACAGGGAGAGAGGAGATAAACATAGGTGGTATCTTCAGTAGCGTCCTGGTTACCTAGTGCTGCTCGGACAGAATATACCACAAATGGGATGGCTTGAAGAAACAGGAGTTTATTCTCTTATAGTTTGGAGGCTTTAAGTCTGAGTTCAAAGTGCCAGGCTCTAGGGGCTGGGTGAAAGCCCCTCAACCTTGGGCTTCAGTTCTGCCTCCTGCTCCCGGCCCACTGGAGCTAGAGGCTTTTCTTCACTCAGGCAGCTACTACCTGCTGAGGCTAACAAGCCCAAGGTTGACAAATAAATTGGCACAGTCCCAGTGTTACCAAATCACACAGCAGACCGTTAATTCAAGTCCATTCGAAGTCCCAAGGTCGGCAGAGCATGGCAGGCTGCTGAACAATGATACGGCTACTTTCAGGGTTCAAGCATGCCATAAGCTAAAGACCATGCCCCAAGACTTCTCCTTATATACAGGAAGCAGACCACATCCCTAAGGCAGCTACTTAGCTGCTCATAGTAGATTCCACCATGGAGTTGATTACCAGTCTCATCATGGAGAATACTATATCCAGTTGCCCAGCCACTCAACCAGGCCCAGACAAGTTGACCCACAAATGTAACCACCACAAGTAGTATCCAGTTGTTCAGCAATCCTCTTTCTCCCCCCTCCCACTATACATACACACATTCCATTTGACCAAATACTGTATTCCCAGGTTGGACTGGTACAGTATGGGGAGAGCCCTGTACATGAGTGGTCCTTGGGAGATTTCCGAACTAAGGAAGAAGTGGTGAGAGCAGCAAGGAACCTGAGTCGGCGGGAGGGACGAGAAACAAAGACAGCCCAAGCAATAATGGTGGCCTGGTAATGTATCGTGAAGCGAGTATGGGAGGTCTAAGTGATGAGGGCCTAGCATTTCTGGACAAAGGTGTAGAGTGCAAAGTGTTTTGCATGCTTGTTTTTGTGTGCACACGAGTGTTGCGTGGCGGAAGGCTAAGTGGACTGCCACTGCACTCCCTATCAGTGCATTTCTACGAAGTGTCTATGTCTGTGTCTTTCCATATCTCTGCCTCGTTTATCTCCTTGGACAGAACTTTCTCTCTCTAACGCTTCTCTCCAACTTTGATGCTGGTCCTCAGGTTCTCCACTGACACATGTCCTAGCCTAATTTCCAAACATGAGTCCGTAATCGTCTCTGGGAATAAAGAAGAATGAGCAGATCAGAGAATTCTTATCTGACCTGACCATTCTTCTTATTCTATGTTCTCTTAATATTTGTACTCCCAAATGCAATATTTGTTGAGTGAAACACTGAATGAATTAATTTTATATTTATTTGCATTGATAGTACACTGCTCTATGCATTTTACGAAGGTGTTCTGGTGGCACTGTGCTTAAAGCTTTAGACTCCTAACCGAAAAGTGGGCAGTTTGAACCCGCCAGCTGCTCCATGGGAGAAAGATAAGGTGGTCTGCTTTGGTTCCATGAAGATTTACAGTCTTGGAAACCCTGTGGGACAATACTACTCTATCCTATAGGTTCACTATGAGTTGGAATCAACTCAGTGCCAGTGGGTTTATGTATTTTATGACATGCAAACATTTGAGCCCTTACTGTGTTCCAGTCTCCATGCTAGATGTTGTCAGAAGGATGGACAAAAAAGCAAGGTGCCTGATCTCAGTGAACTGCTAAAAGTGTTATTAAGTCCTTTGTGAGTGCGTGTATGTCTGCATACATTTGACCATACTTCACTCCTTTCTCTCTCTCAGCACAGAAGGATTCAGTCAGTCCCGTGGGGGTCGACCAGAGGCAGCGAGGCTGCTGGTGGTCGTCACTGATGGAGAATCACATGATGGGGAGGAGCTTCCCACAGCACTGAAAGCCTGTGAGGCTGGAAGAGTGACACGCTATGGGATTGCGGTGAGAATCGACTTGGATCCAGGAAGATTTGGGGGGGGGGGGGGAGGGGAAGACATTGAGGAGTGGTAACTTGAGGAAAACAGGGGCCTTGACAACATCCCAGATTTCAGCCATATGTGTTGCTCTCCCTTCAGTTGAGCTGGTATGTGCTATACCAGCTGTAACACTTCATTCTACACTGCTGGCAGATCTCACCTTGGTCTTCTGACCCCAGGTGCTCGGTCACTACCTCCGGCGGCAGCGAGACCCCAGCTCTTTCCTGCAGGAAATCCGAACTATCGCTAGTGATCCAGATGAGCGATTCTTTTTCAATGTCACAGATGAGGCTGCACTCACGGACATCGTGGATGCCCTGGGAGACCGGATTTTTGGCCTTGAGGGTAATTACTATCTTGGAGAAATGGAGGGCTGGGCAGGGGAAGTTCTGGAGTGAATTCTGTAGGTCAAAGGGACAACTATTTTCCCTGATACTGCCTTGATGTTTTCTCATGCCAAGGGTCCCATGGAGAAAATGAAAGCTCCTTTGGGCTGGAAATGTCTCAGATTGGTTTCTCCACTCATCGGATGCAGGTTGGGCAGGCTTTCATTCCTCTATGACCCTTCCCAACCTCTGACCCCTTCATGACTCCTTTCAGCCTCTGACCCAGACAATGTCAGCTCTAAGGCCCTTCCAGATTCCTCCTTCCACCACCTCCCTTGCCTTTCCAACTGACCGCAGCATACCTCAGTGACCTTGCTCCTGGAGAACTTTTTCTCCTCATTTCCCACTGTCTTCTCAGGGATCCCATCTGGTTCTGCCCCACAGGATGGGATTCTCTTTGGGATGGTAGGGGCCTATGACTGGGGGGGCTCAGTGCTATGGCTTAAAGAAGGTCACCGCCTTTTCCCCCCACGAACGGCCCTGGAAGATGAATTCCCCTCTGCATTGCAGAACCATGCAGCCTACCTGGGTGAGTAGCAAAGAGTTGCAGAGAATTGGGAGGGGCACTTCCTTGAGGGGCGGGTTATGAGGTTCTCCCTTTTTACTCATGAATTCCTGCTTCTCACTGACCTCCTGTTACTTTCCCTGGGACCTCTTCCAGTGTCTTTAGGGAGCCTTCCCACTCTGACTCCATCTTCTTTCCCCTTCACCCTTAATTCCTTGCCCACTTCTAGGTTACTCCGTTTCCTCCATGCTTTTGCAAGGTGGACGGCGCCTATTTCTCTCAGGGGCTCCTCGATTTAAACATCGAGGAAAGGTCATCGCTTTCCAGCTTAAGAAAGATGGGGCTGTGAAGGTGGCCCAGAGCCTCCAGGGGGAGCAGGTAGGGCGTCCACAGGAGGGTGGGACCTTTGGATTCCTAAGGGACCTCCAGGCGGTGGGAGAAGAGAGTAAAGGGGAAAGAGAGGGGCCTGAGAAACCTGTGCTGAATTCTGGTTGGCAGAGCCTGTCAGCAGTCTGAGGACCAGATTGGCAGACTGGCGAATGCTTCCCACCAAGTCCACTTGTCCATTATCACCTTCCCTTTTCTCTGGGTTCACCACGGCCCACTGCTCCCCAGATTGGTTCATACTTTGGCAGTGAGCTCTGCCCATTGGATACAGATGGAGATGGAACCACTGATGTCTTACTTGTTGCTGCCCCTATGTTCCTTGGACCCCTGAACAAGGAGATGGGACGTGTTTATGTGTATCTGGTGGGTCAGGTGAGATTTTCTAGGACCCCCCTAGGACTTGTGGGAGGAAGAGGGAGAAAAGTACAGCCATTTGAGAGCTGGCTGAGAGGGCTGTCAGATCAGTATCTTCTATCTTCCCTTCACTTCCACCAGCAGCCCTTACTGGTGCTCCAGGGAACACTTCAGCCAGACCCTCCTCAGGATGCTCGCTTTGGCTTTGCCATGGGTGCCCTCCCTGATCTGAACCAAGATGGCTTCGATGATGTGGCTGTGGGGGCACCCCTGGAGGATGGGCATCATGGTGCACTGTACCTGTATCATGGGACCCAGAGTGGAATCAAGTCCCGTCCTGCACAGGTCAGCAGTGCCCAGATGAGGCAGGGGCTTGGTCATGGGAAGGGGGGGCAGGGAGGATGCTCTTTGTCTATCCAGTGTCCCCGTAGCTTGAGACTCAAACTGGACAAGTGCTTTAATCAGTAGGAGAAAAAAGTTGAAGAAGTGAGATAAGACACAGATTGCTAAACTAGAGACCCCTAAACACCAGCAAGTTTCTCTTATTCCCATGACTGAAGAGAGGATTAGAGAGCCAGGTGGGAAACGAGGTGTGTGAGTCCCTGCTTCAGTGTCCCCTCTCTTCCTCTCAGCGGATTGCTGCTATCTCCATGCCCCAGGCCCTCAGCTACTTTGGCCGAAGTGTGGATGGTCGGCTAGATCTGGATGGAGATGATTTGGTAGACGTCGCTGTGGGTGCCCAGGGGGCAGCCATCCTACTCAGGTGAGGGGTCCCAGCTCAGTAGCAATGGACAGCATTGCAGAGGTATTAAAAGTAAGGGTTTTGGTATCACAAGTTTAGATTTGGGTTATCTTGTCAATTTAAGTTTTCTTTGCCTCTATTTCCTAGTTTATAAAATAGGGATAATAATAATAATAGTACCTACCTTAGAGGCTAGTTGTGAGGATTACGTGAAGTAATCCGTGTAAAGATCTTAACTCGGTATCTAGCACATTGTTGTTACTAGCTGCTGTTGAGGTGGTCCCATTGTGACTCCGTGTCTAAGCCATCCCTATCACCCATTGGAGACTGAACCTTTGTGATTCTGACTGATTTTCAGAAGTAGATCACCAGGCTTTTCTTCCTAGTCTGTCTTGGTCTGGAAGCTCTGACGAGACCTGTTCAGCACTGTAGCAACACCCAAGCCTCCACCAATAGATGGGTGATGGCTGCACCTGAGGTGCATTGGTTAAGTGCTTATTAAGTGTTAGCCATTACGTTCTCTCAGAACATTCAGGGGAGGGTGACACATGTGCATCTAGCCCCTGTGGTGGAGGTTAAAGTGGGGATGACATCATTCTTTCCTTTGATTGTGGGAAGCCCAACACTGGGGTTGCCCTTCTCAAAGGACTTACCTCCTACTGTTAGAAATTTCTTTCCCACCCCATCCCCAGCTCCCGGCCTATTGTCCGCTTGACCCCTTCGCTGAATGTGACCCCACCAGCCATCAGTGTGGTTCAGCGGGGCTGCAGGCGGCGAGGCCAGGAGGCAGCCTGCCTGACAGCAGTTCTTTGCTTCCAAGTGACCTCCCGCACTCCTGGCCGCTGGGATCGCAGATTCTGTGAGTGACTGTGACTAAAATGCATCCCAGCCGAGGCTCAGCCCCTTGCCTGTCTTGGTCTCTGGACCCCTCTCCACTGTCACCTTGCTCCCCCCATTTAGATTTGCGGTTCACAGCATCACTGGATGAGTGGATGGCTGGGGCACGTGCAGCGTTTGATGGCTCTGGCCAGAGGCTGTCCCCTAGGTGGCTCTGGCTCAGTGTGGGGAATGTCACTTGTCAGCAGCTGCACTTCCATGTCCTGGTGAGAAGGGGCCAGGAACTGCTTTGCTCAGGGCCTGGGAGTGAGGGGAAGGCTGAAGCAGAGAATTTGACTGCATCAGCATGAAAGCTTAAGCCAGAAAAATGAAGGAGAGAGTTCAGACTTTGGAGTCAGGTTGATCTGGGTTTGACTTGTAACTCTGCCATTTATCAGCTGTGAGCTCTGGCAAGCCATTTAACCTTCAAACCTCAGTTTCTTTGTCTGCAAAGTTAATGATAGTAAGTACCTCATAGGATTTGTGTTAGAATTACATTTAGTAATATTGATGAAAACATAGGACAGCATTTAGCCCTCAGAAAGTGCTCAATAAATGATCACCATTGTTACTTCTGTTAGCATAGTGGGTAAGGCATTTGGTTGCTAACCAGAAGGTTGGTAGTTCAAATCCACCAGTTGCTCTGCAGAAGGAAGATGGGGCAATCTACCTCCATAAAGATTTACAACCTTAGAAACCCAATGGGGGTTGCTATGAGTTGGAATTGACTCAATGGCAGTGGGTTAGTGGATTTATAGTTATCACACTCTGCCTGGAGTGCATCCTTGACCCTTGCTCCCCATGATCTTCAACTCTGGTTTCCCTCAGGATGCATCAGATTATCTCCGACCAGTAGCCTTGTCTGTGACCTTTGCCTTGGACAACACCACCAAGCCAGGGCCTGTGCTGGATGAGGGCTCACCTACCTCCATACAAAAGCTGGTCAGCAGTACCCTGCCCCTGGGTTCCAGCTCTGCCCTTCCCAGCGATTCCAAGAGAAAGGGGAGGGAGGAGACATGCGATCACATTGAAACCAGACCTGGGGCCCCTCTAGTAAAAGTATACCCACTCTCTTTCTTTACATTTTCCTCCAATTCCATTCCTTTCTCCTTTGCTTTCCTTTTAGCCTGCAGCCTATTCTCTCTCCTCCAGGTCCCCTTTTCGAAGGATTGTGGCCCTGACAATGAATGTGTCACAGACCTGGTACTTCGAGCTAATATGGACATCAGAGGCTCCAGGTGGGATGGAATTGAACTGGCCAAACCAGGGTGACCCGAGACAGATCAGAAGAGAGTTGAAGGGAGCTGGGGAATTGTCATTGTCTGTCATCTACAGTAATAGAAGTGAGGCTTGTGGTACACCTTCAACTCCTGAGCTCTGCTTTCTCTGCTACTCCTAGGAAGGCCCCATTCGTGGTTCGAGGTGGCCGACGGAAAGTGCTAGTATCAGCAACTCTGGAGAACAGGAAAGAAAATGCCTATAACACTAGCCTGAGTCTCAGTTTTTCTAGAAACCTCCACCTGGCCAGCCTCACTTCTCAGGTGCCCTTGGAGGAGGAGGCTTGGGCAGAGAGGGCTTGGGAGGAGAAAGGAGGAGGGAGAAGACTGGTTATAGGCCTCGCCCCTGAGATCCTCTGAAGAAAGGCTAAGTGTTTGGAGACTAGGGGTCGGAAAGCTGCCTAACAACCGTAGCCCCAGCTTTAGCCTCTATCTCCATTCCTCTATCTTCAGAGGGACAGCCCAGTGAAGGTGGAATGTGCAGCCCCTTCCTCTCATGCCCGGCTTTGCAGTGTGGGGTACCCTGTCTTCCAGACGGGGGCCAAGGTAAGCTAGGGTCCAGGATGACAGTGGCTCTGGGAGAACAGGGAAGGGGGCACATAGAGCTCCTGTTTCTCTGTAGTTGACCCATGAGGAGGAATCTACTATGACCCCATGTCCCCCACCTCCAGGTGACCTTTCTGCTAGAGTTTGAATTCAGCTGTTCTGCTCTCCTGAGCCAGGTCCTCATAAGACTGATTGCCACCAGGTGAGAACAGAGGGAACGTCTTCCCAGCCCTCTCCTATAGCATCTTGACTCCTCTACTACCTGAGAGGGGTGTCTGAGGAGGGGCTGGAATGTGAGCCTCTCCCCCTGACCTTACAGCAATAGCCTGGAGACAACTGGAACCCTTCAAGATAATACAGCCCAGGCCTCAGCCTACATCCAATATGAGCCTCACCTCCTGTTCTCTAGGTATGGTCCAGCTTCCTGCTGGAATCCAGTTGTGACCCCAGAATCATACCCCTTATGTTTTCTACATCTCCCTCCATGTGCTTTAGTGGTCCCAGAACCCCAAACACTTGGAGCTGCTTCATTTCTTTACCCTCAGTCCCACTCAATGTTGAAACTTTTCTTTTAAGCATCTTATTTTCCTTAGGAATAGGGTGCTGTCCAGTGTCTGGGGGTTGGAGTTGCGGGGAGGGGATATAGGTTGTGGCCATAAAGTTTACACCAAGTCCATGTCATGTCCCATTTCTGTCTTCTCCATGTGCCCCACCTCTTGATCCATGTGCTGCCCCTGCCTTCCCTGAATACATGTCTGTGTGCTGAGCATGTGCCCCTGTGTCTGTGTCATGACTGTGACCATGTACTTTCTGACTTGGTGTCCATGCAGTGAGTCCACCCTGCACCGCTATGAGGTTCACCCATACGGGACCCTCCCAGTGGGTCCTGGCCCTGAATTCAAAACCACTCTTAGGGTGAGAAGCTGGAGGGGGCCTTGGTATGAGCAGGGGGAGGGGGATGAACAAGAACTGTGTGCAAAAAGGATGGGGAAAGTGTCTTTTGGATCTCAGTGATGGTTGGGGTGAAAGGGGACAGGTGAGGAAGAAGCTTCTTTTCTCTCCTACCTCCTCCCATTTCCAATCCTCCTTATAGGTGCAGAACCTTGGCTGCTATGTGGTCAGTGGCCTCATCATCTCAGCTCTTCTTCCAGCTGTGGCACATGGAGGCAATTACTTCCTGTCATTGTCTCAAGTCATCACCCACAATGTGAGTCTGGATTAGGGGGTGTGTGGGACCCAGCCACCTTGAGCTGGTGGACTTAAATTGAAGCTCGACTCCCACATATGACAGCTCCCTGTCTACTGGGTCCTCTGGGGGAACTCTTTTTACATTTCAGCACTCTTTGAGAAGAAAGAAAAGGATTATCCAGGGAAGAATTACAAGAATGTGGGTGGTATCTTTCTGCTCAGTCTGGGATAGTTGGCCTCTCCCTAAGGATTGCTTATGTTGGATTTTCCTATAGGCAAGCTGCACGGTGCAGAACTTGACCAAGCCCCCGGGAGCCCCTGTGCGCCCAGAGGAGCTTCAGCACATAAGTAGACTGGTATGAGTCACAAGAAGGAGAGAATCCAGAGTGGGCATGCAGCGGGTATAGACAGTGAATTTGGAGGAGCTCTGACACAGCGGAGTAGGGCCCAGAGAGGGGAGGAGGGATCTTTCTAACCCAGAATCCTGACTTTTCTCTCTTTCCTGGTAGAATGAGAGCAATACCCGGTGCCAGGTCGTGAGGTGCCACTTTGGACGGCTGGCAAAGGGAACCGAGGTCTCTGTTGGACTACTGAGGCTGGTTCACAATGAATTTTTCCGAAGAGTGAGACTTTCTCTTTCTACTACTCCTTTCTGCTCCTATCTGGAACTTTTAGTGTGGGCTTTGGAGGAAGACAGACCTGATTGCAGGTTCTAGCTTTGCCTCTATTTGACCTTGAGCAAGTGAATTGATTTCTCTAAACTCCTATTTCCTCATCTCTAACATGGGGATGATAATACCTACTAATGCAGTTGTTGTGAAGAATAAATGAAATAATGATCTGAGCATGTGGTAAATACTCGATAAAAGCTAGTTATTATCCTTGTATTTTCCTCCATTTACCATTCCTTAATACTATGGCAATTAACAGTCTACATTGACAGAATACCTAAATTCTGTCAACTAATAATCTATGAAGTAAGTGCCTATTTTACAAAAGGGACTGAGGAGGATGTCTCCAACTTTTAACACCATGCCTAACTCACTGTCAGTGCCTAATAGATTGTTGTTAAGTGAATAGATAAATGGTTGATACTATGTGCAAGATTTGTATTGGGGAGTAATGATTATATAGCTCAGAGGGATGTAGATTAGGAAAGGTTCTAAAGTTAGAGAGATATAAGTGATCTTAGGGAGCTCTGGTAGCGTAGTGCCTAAGGCACTTGACAGCTAACCAGAAGGCTGGTGGTTCAAACCCACCAGCCACTCCTCGGAAGGAAGATGGGGCAATATATTTCCATAGTGATACTGCCTCAGAAACCCAAGGAGGGGTTGCTATGAGTCGGGTCCGACTCGACGGCACATAACAACAACAATAATTGATTTTAGTCAGAAGTGAGTTCCTGAGTAGAGAAATGACATCTTAATTATAACAACCTATGTATATTTAGCTGTGGTTTTATTTTATACCTTTATGTATACCCCCTGCTTTAAACAACACAAGATCCCTGGGATGTAGGCATATGTTTTAGAAAACTTAAACCTGGCACACCACTCCTCTCCAAGTCTGGTGCGGTGTAGTAAATTACATGGTATGACTTTTCTAGCCATATTCTTTGTAACTCCCACTGTGCCATGAGCAACTGAGTAGCTGATTGTTAAACTTATCCACCTGGGGAAGCACAAAGTAATCTTCTGGAAAGTTTGCTCTCAGGTATATAGAATTCTGGGATTGGTTAGTTTTGCCACTCTGCCAGGCTTAAAATGAGCCCTCCTAGAGGTAGAGGAGAATCTTTCTGATTACTGGCTAAGAGAGACACACTGCTGAGAGAGATGCACTTGCTGAGAGAGAGAGATGAGAGAGAGGCACTGCTGAGAGAGAGAGACTGAATGCATTCCTAAATTTGAATTGTAGGCCTGTTCCTTCCCTAATAAACCCATATAATCTGTGAGTTCTGTGTGGCCACTGCAGCGAATTATCGAACCCAGCGGAGAGGTGGTGGGTGCTGTGGGAGGAACGGTTGGTGACAAAGTTAGTCAGAGAGTTGGAGACTGGCAGCATGTCTGACCTCATAAGAACAGGCCTTTGCTGCTGACGGTGATTCTCTCTTCCTCTTGTGTAGTTAGAAGAGGTCAGAAGATGCCTCCTCCTTGTCCCTTTAGCATCTGGTTTTCTCTGTATCCCTCCTTGGTTTTTTCACCCGTGTATTCATTCTTTCAAGGAGCCCTGGTGGTGCAGTGGTTAAATGCTGAGCTGCTAACAGGAAGGTTGAAGGTTTGAACCACCAGCTGCTCCATGGGAGAAAGGTGTAGCAGTCTGCTTCTGTAAAGATTTATAGCCCTGGGAACTCTATGGGGCAGTTCTAGTCTCTCCTATAGGGTTGCTATGAGTCAGAATGGACTTGATGGCAATGAGTTTAGTTTTGATTATCTTCATTATTTCAACAAACATTTATTGAGGAACCACTGTGTACTTGAGATTGTGCTCAGCACTAGGCATTGAGACTTAATAAGACACAGCCCTTGCACTCAAAGATATTAGAGTTTAAGGGTGAAAGAGAACTAAATAGAATATAATAACCTGATACAAGGTGGGGGGGTTTGGGAGAAAATACTTAGTTTCTAGAAGGAATATAGAGTGATAGGTGTTAGCTAAAGGAGAGGGGAGTGGAAACAGCATATATGAAGGGCCATAGGTTTTTTCATCTATTACCCTTCCTCTCTTTTCCCATTGGTCACCAATCTTTTTTTCTGTCTTGAGGGTTCCAAAGAACCACACCATCTGATGATGGCTGACTTCAAATGCCCTCCCATCTGTTTGTTCCACAGGCCAAGTTCAAGTCTCTGACAGTGGTCAGCACCTTTGAGATGGGAACTGAGGAAGGCAGTGTCCTACAACTGACTGAAGCCTCCCGTTGGAGCGAGGTGGAGCTGGGGGCTGAGTTGGAGAGCTGTGAAAATAGAGTGGGGAGGGGGAAAAGGCCACCGCTGGGCCTTTTAGGAGCAGAGCATCACATTAGGCAGCAGTCAGTGAGTCAGAAGGGATAAATCAAGATGCTGGGGTTCCATTGCCTCCATTCTTGCTTCATTATCTTTCCTTTAAATAGAAAAACATAATTTCTTCTATTTTGGTTTGGTTTTGCCATAGTGTGGGGTAAAGTTAACTGGACTAAAGGCTGAATGTAAAAAACAGCTCTTCCCTCTGTACAGAGCCTCCTGGAGGTGATTCAGACACACCCTGTCCTTATCTCCCTGTGGATCCTCATTGGCAGTGTCCTGGGAGGTCTGCTTCTGCTTGCCCTCCTTGTCTTCTGCCTTTGGAAGGTAAGCATTGCTTTAGTGGGAAGCACCACATGGCACTCATGAATCGAGGGATCCTCGATTATAGCAGAGAGAACAGGATTAGTACTGGGCAGCTGAGTTGGCTATGGGTGTCATTGCCTGAATCTCCTTCACGGTAGTCCACAAATGTTGCTTGAATTAAACTAAGCTGAATACAATAAATTTTAATCCTGTTTTTGAAAGCAGAACTAAGTGCAGACTTCAGAGAAATCTGAGGGCTGTTGGCAAGGTCCCCCAGTCAGGACACTTGATGATTACTCTTCTCTCTTTCTCTACAGCTTGGCTTCTTTGCCCGTAAGAAAATCCCTGAGGAAGAGAAAAAAGAAGAGAAATTGGAGCAATGAATGTAGAAGAAGGTTCTAGAAAGCCCTCATTGGCAGCTTCTCCAAAAGATTTTCATAAGAGTGCAGGTTTGGGGGCCCAGATGGGACAGGAAAGAGCTTCTGGTCCCTCTTGCCAAACCTGCTGCATGGCCTGACTTTTCAGTCATGGAGATGCTGTTGGCAGGAGATGGGACTTTACCTCAGCCAATAAGGGCTGGCACCAAAACTACTAGCACTCCCACCCAGTGTTTCCCTCCTCCTTATGATCCTGGTTCCATAGCCAACATTGAGGCCTTTGTCTGGAGCCTTGTTTTCTCCCATCCCCTGAGAATGAAGAAGTTTTGCCGAGGTCCTTGACTCGTTTGAGATTCCCTCCATGTCCTTTCTCACAGTTTGGAAAGGAGGAGGGTTCTCCTCCTCCACTCCCCGCCTTCTCACCTTCCTGCCTGCCCTCACTCCACAGGACGGAGCTGACGTTGGCTTGAAAGAAGTAAAGTCAACATCTGCCGCTTTCCTGTGGAGTCTGGTGATTCAGAGAGCCAGATGGGGAGAGTCAACAGGAAAAAAGGAGGGAGGGAGAAAAGCCACAAGAGACATTCTGTACAGTTTCAAGAAACAGAGAAGCCTTTAGACAGGCAACTGGCATCCCCCTGAAACCTGAGACTTCGTGTACTCGCCCGCCCTCAGGTGCTGGTGAAACAGAGCTGCCCCTAGGCTTACTGGGCAATAGCTTCCCAACTAGCAGCCTTCCCCACGAGCAAAGCCAGGGCCTGATTTTCTGGGGCCCCCAGGTGGCTAGAGCTGGAATAGCAGACAAGACTGGATGACCCCAGCAGTGTTCTCTCCATCTCTGTCAGACATTCCCTACCTGTAAGCCCTCCTTGGGGACCTCCTTATAGAAACCAGAGATAACGTAGAGGGTTGTTAATTGATAGTGGGAAACTCTATCACCTTACCAGCTTTGGGGAGCAGCATCCCCGTGGGTTCTGAGCAAATGGGGTCTGGATTAAGGAAGAAGCCAAAGAGTGGTGTGAGGTCTCTGGGGAGCAAGCCCTTACTGGCTCAGCACTAGTTGTATAGCACAAATAGCTGCTTGGAAAACTGTATCTGAGGCAACCCCAGTTATGTCACACCTTGTAGGGCTTCTCTAGTGGAACCCTTTTGGCAGCCCCTCCCTGATGTTTACTGGAAATTCCTAAGTCAATGTCTGTCTTTGAATTCCCCCCATCTCACTCCCACTGTTTGGTCATGGCCAGTAAAGGAAATTGGATTCTCATCAACAACTGAGTAACATATTTCTTTGTAATCAAAACTTTATATACAAAGTCATTTATTAGTCTCCAGAGTGCTGCTCTGGCAAATGAGCACGCATTTAGAGGTGGGAAGAGAGGAGACTTGATTGGGCAGTTGACTAGCAGTCACAGAACCTGTCCTCCACTGCTTTTCTCAAGGCCTGGCCACAGTGTTTATTTTGGCGTGTCCCTGGTCTTCTGCAGAGGGCCACCCTCTTGGGCATTTTTTCTGTTTCCCAACAGGGTGGACAGTATATCAGATGGTCAAAACAAATAAAGTTCAGTGTCAAATGACTTCGGGCTCTGTTTGAGTTACCTAGGACATGGATTACACAGGAACAGTGAGTGGTAGGTAGATTCTTGGTTCACCTGGGTTCTTATACAGTAAGATTCCTGGAAGGCAAATTTATGAAATATTTGAAATGTTTTCTGTGACTTCCAGTGGAGATATGCTCCAGCCTTCTGCAATCCCCACCTATTTAAGTGGCCGTAAAGTATAAAATGCGTGGGTTTGGGAAGTACAGAGGCCTAGATTGAAATCCCAGGTCTGCCATTTACTACTTACATGGCCTTGAGCAAATCACGACTTCCTGAGCCTCAGATAATAACAAGAGGCTGTGTGATACCATGGTTAAGAAGGAAGACAGACTAGGGTTTAAATCTATACCACTGAAAACCTGTTTGTCCTTAAATTTAATTTCTCGAAGTTGTGGCTTCCTCATCTTTAAAGTGTCCTGGGGCTTGGGGGCTGCTTTTCACTCAGGGGTGGCTCTATTTTGAGGCAGGGGCCCAAGGTGGTGGTGGGGGCAGCTTTTTGCTTGGGGGCTGCTCTGTTTTTAGGCCAGTGCCCAAGGTAGGTGGGTGTGGAGCTCGGGGGCTGCTTTTCGTTTGGGGGTGGCTCTGTTTTGAGGCTGGGTAGGTAGGTGGGCATGGGGCTCGGGAACTGCTTTTCACTTGGGGGAACCTCTATTTTAAGGCCAGGGCTTGAGGTAGGCAGGTGCAGAGGGGTTAGAAACAACTAAGGGAGATGAACTTGTCTGTCAGTTCATCGTCCTGTGGTGGCTTATGTGTTGCTGTGAGGCTGGAAGCTATGTCATTGGTGTTGCAAAATGCCAGCAGGGTTACCCATGGTGGACAGGTTTCAGTGGAGTTTCTGGGCTAAGACAGACTTGGAAGAAGGAAGAGGCCGTCTACTTCTCAAACAATTGGCCAGTGAAAACCTCATGAATAGCAGTGAAACATTGTCTGAGATATTACTGAAAACGTTATGAATAACCCTAAAACATTGTCCAATATAATGCCAGAAGATGAGCCCATCAGGTCAGAAGGCACTCAAGATTTGACAGGGGAAGAACTGACTCCTCAGAGTAGAGATGACCTTAATGATATGGATAGAGTAAAACTTTCAGGACCTCCATTGGCTGATGTGACATGACTCAAAATGGGTAGAAACAGATGCAAATATCCATTAATAATTGGAATATGGAATGTATGAAGTATGAATTTAGGAAAATTAGAAGTTGTCAAAAATGAAATGGAATGCATAAAGATCAATATCTTAGGCATTAGTGAGCTGAAATGGACTGGTTTTGCCCATTTTGAATCAGGCAACCATATGATCTATTATGCCAGGAATGACAAATTGAAGAGGAGTGGTGTGGCATTCATTGTCACAAAGATTGTTTCAAGATCTGTCCTGAAGTACGATGTTGTCAGTGATAGGATAATATCCATACATTTACAAGGAAGACCAGTTAATACTACTATTATTCAAATTTACACACCAACCACCAAAACCAAAAATGAGAAAATTGAAGATTTCTATGAACTTCTGCAGTCTGAAATTGACCAAATATGCAATTGAGATGTGTTGATTATCACTGGTGATTGGAATGAAGAAGTTGGAAACAAAGAAGAATCATTGGTAGAAACATGCCCTTGGTGATAGACATAATGCCAGAGATTGCATGACAGAATTTTGCAAGATCAATGCCTTATTCATTGCAAGTACATTTTTCAACAACTTAAGCGATAGCTATACACATAGACTTCACCAGATGGAATACACAGGAATCAGATAGACTACATCTATGGCAAGAGGTGATGGAGAAGTTCAATATTTTTGGCCAAAACAAGGCCAGGAGCTCATTGTGGAACAGATCATCAACTGCTCATATGCAAGTTCAAGTTGAAGTTGAAGACAATTAAAACAAGTCCAGGAGAGCCAAAATATGACCTTGATAATATCCCTCCTGAATTTAGAGACCATCTAAAGAATAGATTTCATGCATTGAACACCAACGACCGAAAACCAGTGAAATTGTGGGATGACATCAATAACATCAACCATGAAGAAAGCAAGAGGTCATTAAAAAGACAAGAAAAGAAGAAAAGACCAAAATGGATGTTAGAAGAGACTCTGAAACTTGCCCTTGAGTGGAGGGTAGCTGAAACAAATGGAAGAAATGACAAGATAAAAGAGCTGAACAAAAGATTTCAAAGAGCAGCTCGAGCAGACAAAGCCAATTACTATAATGAAATGTGCAAAGACCTAGAGTTAGAAATCCAAAAGGGAAGAACATGCTTGGCATTTCTCAAGCTGAAAGAACTGAGGAAAAATTTTAAGCCTCAAGTTTCAATACTGAAAGGTCTTATGGGCAAAATATTGAATGATGCAGGAAACATCAAAAGAAGATGGAAGGAATACACAGAGTCACTGTACCAAAAAGAACTGGTGAGTGTTCATCCATTTCCGGAGGTGGCATATGATCAAGAACCAATGGTATTGAAGGAAGAAGTTGAAGCTGCACTGAAGGAATTGGCAAAGAACGAGGCTCCAGGAATTGACAGAATACCCACTGTTTTGACAAACAGATGCCCACTGGAGGCCCTCACTCAGCTATGCCAAGAGATTTGGAAGACAACAATCTGCCCAACTGACTAGAAGAGATCCATATTTGTACCCATCCCAGGGAAGGTGATCCCACAGAATGTGGAAATTATTGAACAATATAATTAATATTACATGCAAGTAAAATCTTACTGAAGATAATTCAAAAATGGTTGTAGCAGTATATTGACAGAGGTGCAAGCTGGATTCAGAAGAGGATGTGGAACAAGGGATATCACTGCTGATGTCCGATGGATCTTAGCTGAAAGCAAAGAATACCAGAAAGATGTTTACTTGTTTTATTGACTATGCAAAAGCATTCAATTGTGTGGATCATAACAAATTATGGATAACATTGAGAAGAATGGGAATCCCAGGACACTTGATTGTACTCATGAGGAACTTGTACATAGACCGTGAGGCTGTTGTTCCAACAGAATAAGGGGATACTGTGTGGTTCAAAATCAAGAAGGGAGTATGTCAAGGTTGTATCCTTTCACCATACTTACTCAATTTATATGCTGAGCAAATAATCCAGGAAGCTGGATTATATGAAGAAGAATGTGGCATCCAGATTGGAGGAAGACTCATTAACAACCTGCGATATGCAGATGACAAAACTTTGCTTGCTGAAAGTGAGGATGACTTGTAGCACTTACTGATGAAGATTAAAGACTATAGTAGAAGATTAAAGTCTATAGTATGGACTACATCTCAATATAAAGAAAACAAAAATCCTCACAACTGGTGCAATAAACAGCTTAATGGTGGATGGAGAAAAGATTGAAGTTCTCAAGGACTTAATATTACTTGTTTCTACAATCAACACCAATGCAAGGAGCAGTCAAGACATCAGACAATGTACTGCATTGGGTAAATCTGCTGCAAAAGACCTCTTTCAAGTGCTGAAGAGCAAAGATGTCTCCCTGAAGACTAAGGTGTGCCTAACCCAAGCCATGGTATTTTCAATTGCCTCTTACGCATGTGAGAGCTGGACAATGAATAAGGAAGACTGAAGAAAAGTTGATGCTTTTGAGCTGTGGTGTTGGAGTAGAATGATAAGAATACCATGGACTGCTATAAGGACAAATAAATCTGTCCTGGAAGAAGTGCAGCCAGAATGCTCCTTGGAAGCGAGAATGGTCAGACTTCATCTCACCT